TTCGAAGGAGGTTCAAAAGACTGCAGAGAACAGAGTGAACTGGATGCGTGCTCCTGAACCCCTATATCCCTCTAGGGATAAATAAATATTAATAATCGTTTCGACGAACTGGAACTATTATTTCATAGTGAATGTAGCGCTTTGTCGACGAACATATTTCAACTTTCTGCTACCCAACATGGCACATTTTGATAAGGTGGACTAACCACTGCTGGCATAGGTTCTAATGGAACATTCCGTTTACGTGTCTTAGGTAAACTATACATATGGCATGTTATTGTGCTTTTTTGTCTGTTCTTACTTTTTAAACTTTAGAGGGTGTTGAATCCTTCTCTTATGAATGTTATGACCAGAACTGTACATGTCATCTAGGAGGTTGTTTGGAGTCCAGAATTCGATATTTATGAGGTACAGTGAATAAGTGACGTAGAGTGACCATCCTTCAGTGTTATATACACTAATCCTTTATTGTTTGACTTCGTAGATCATAGTGTCAAGTTAGAGATTGGGAATATCCACCTTCGAGTTATTCTTTGAGAGACTATGATCTAGGCAGTTAGTTGAATTGGCGATAAAGAAGAACTCTTACTCGTCACAGGCGACGATGATCATTTGGCAGTGAAGATCTAATAAGAACAAAAAATTAAGACCGCTTTGTCTCTATTGAGTGGCCAGCTGAAGCCGAAGGAACCGAAATATAATTCTGTCACCTGGTGTGAGTGTCCAGTACTGTGGGTTTAAAAACCAAAGGAACCAGCTAGTTGTTGCTTCCTGGTTCAAAGTCATCTTCTAACTGAAATTATGAAGTGATAAACGTTAATTTCCCATGAACCACATAAATCCATTTATTCGTAATATGGCTTTATCTGTTAACTTTCTTTACACTGTCGTAAAATGAAACGTTCTTACGTTTCCTAATCCCAAATCTTTGTTGTTTCTTTTATGAAAACTTTATAATCTTTTCATCAACTTTTTGTTGAGTGAGGAATTATGATGCTAGATCGTATGAAATTACGGAGGCTGTCGCTGAGTTTGTGGGTGAAATTTTGTGAAAAAAATATCATTTTCTGCTTCATTTTGTATTTTTTATAAAAACAACTTATCTGCAGTCTCCTACCCTTCACAACTTGCGTGTATCTTTCATTTTTTGACTTCGTTAAGGAATATTGGTCAACTATTTTGAATAAATGGCTGTATTTACCAAATAGATTTGAATAGTTGTTGGTACTCAGTTTGATGGTGATTTGAACTCAGTGTCCTAATGAAACCACACGGTTTTCTAGGTTGAATCATGAAATAAACTATCCGTAATTAGTATTTATCAGAACTTCAGAATGACTCAGGTAGAACTAGGGTTTAAGTGAAAATATTTATATTTCAGGCAGTCCCAAAAACATAGTCTCAACAAACAGCTCACACAATCTTTAATACTTGTATTTACAGTAGGTATAGTTACAGTAGCGCAGATTCAGTTGCTTTTGAAAAATGACCAGTAGAATTTTTGTAATAGTCACAGTAGCTTAGAACAGCTATAGCCAGCCGGAATACTGTTATATATGCAAGCACTCCTATTCACTACTTGATCAAAGATCACTCATGTATGCATCATAAGTCAATCTGAATGGCTAGAAATCATCACAGACACATGGCATAAACTACAGTGCGCCTAAATTCAAACAACATTCCGATGAATAGCAGATATCCTTTTTTGATAACTTCTTCCTCAGATTCTACGGTCATATTTCCATTCATGCTGCCCAATCAAATAAAAAAAGTCTGCGAATTTATATTGCAGCAAATAGTTAACACAATTCGAAATAATTGATCTTTTGGGCGATAAAATGACACGGGTTTTGCGAAATCAATCATGCCAGTGAGTTGCCGATTCCACAGCTGGCACTAAGGAAGTTGTAATGGCTGCACGTGTTTCTTCTTTGTAAACATAATTTAGATTGAACGGCTACAGCTTCTGCTATTTGAAGTGTTCCGTATCCTACAGCTTTCGATAAATTAGTGGGGACACAGTAAATAATAGAAAGTGACCGATTCATATTTGCTTAATGGTCCCTTTAAACTGACTGAACTATCATCAAGCTATTTACATTTTTCAGCATACCTTTACTTAGCCATGCTAGGAGATACTCATCAGTACAAAGAATTAAATTCTTAGAACAAAAGCCAATATAACTGACTGCATTGGGAAAGTTGGGTTGATAAACACAAAAAGAAATGGCTAGCCTAAGTATTTGATTTTTCAGCTTTGGTAGCATGACTGGGAGTGTAGAAAATACCAGCTTGAATTTCCCGTATTTAAACTTCGTTGGATAGATCTTCTGAGCTTGTGAATTAGTAGCTGGTACGACGCTTCTCCTCTAAACTGTATTTTAATGTAAAATGGTTTCTTGCTCTTAACTGGCATACATTTCTTTTCTACTTTCGTTGTCGTGGGCTTCTTTATTAACTTATCTGGATAGCTAATTTTGCCCATTGTGTTCTGTAAGATTTACAACTCTTCATCAAATGCATCCTCTAAACATATAGCTTTCACCTAAATTGACGGGTTTTTATTGATTTCTTTTTAGATAATATTTTGCGACAGTGAAAAAAGTTTAAATAAAAATTAGCGTGAAGTTTTCAACAACAAAAACAATTTGTTTTAGGCTGGAATTCATCATGGACTGATATCAGAAACATAGGAGCACTGGACAGCCGCTGTTTCTACCCAGTATCGGACTCCTCATCAGAGCACACACATGACCTCGTCAGGGATCGAACCCAAGATGTTTAGATTTCGTGGCCAGCACGTAACCATCGAGTCAATGGGTCGGAATTCAGTGGTTCACTGTAAGATATACTCTTACACACTCTTAAAATGTATTCAACCTATCGTTAAACGGGTTAACATCAAGACTACAAGAAAGCAACACAGTAGATGGAAGTTGGCTCCTGAAGGCATAACAATGCATCATATAGCTATTACAGGCACACGAAGATGGAACAGCGAATTCTCATGTTGGATGAAAAAACATCCACCACCAAATTTACGTGAGCTTTTCTATCCAGCTGACGTGCAACAACATACAAACCGGATGATAACCTAAAGAATACTGATAGTTGTTGTGGATTCTTGTCTATCATTCAGTCATTATTAGCATTAGTTAACTGCCATGCGTTTTGTAAATTTGAAAATCTTATGCGAGAAGTAAATTTGTCAAAATGTCACACTAAGAATTGTAAACCGTACTAATAGTTATTGTATGGAATTAAGAGAGGTATTACTAGTATTATTACTAATAAATTCCTTACGTTAGGACCAACCAATCTTAATTGAGCTAGGTTATTGTCCTCGGATGGCCTAACTGACCGTGATTCACCACTTTCATCTATATGTTTGGACTCATGATGATTGGAAGGGATTTGGTAAGCTAAATTATATTGCTTAATTGGATCAATAGGATCTTTTAACCTACAAAGCTTGTTTTGAAGAGAATTTGTCGGTTTAAATGCTACTGTAAACTCAGTCTTACTGAGAGTCCTTTTTCATGCTTCCAAGGTGCTTTCTATGTATAGTAACATGGTAGGGACCTTAAATTCTTTCTTGCAAAGACTGTGAGGTCAAAGACATAGGTGAAATTAGTCGGCCAAGGTCAATTAGTCTGTCCGAGTACAAGAACCGAACTAAATCAAGATAAGTATATCCTAATATGATAAGGAATTTCGCGAAAAGCTCACCTGTAGGTGTATGTGGGATTGCAAGCAAACGCACAGTAAGGGGGAACAAAGTGAAGTTAGGTGGAGGTAGAGAGAGATAGATAACAGAATCCTAGTTAGTCGAATCAACACTTAACACATACAGTATTAGGAATGATTCAGAACCTGTTCCAGATATATTGAAAGTTCTACTAATCTTTTTATACGGATAAAGACAGAAATATTACTAGTATAAGCCATTTCACAAAGTTGTGGAGTTATCTTGATATGAATATGGAGGCTAAGTTGTATTCGGAGCGTTATGTAGTGAATAATACTGTCTCGCTGAGTGACACATCTTTATAAGGAAATCATGCAGGTTTTACTCATATGCCAAGTCTAACAAATATGAAGAGAACTAGGGAATAAGTGATTTCTATAAGATAGGCTCTCAATGAGGCTCATACGTTTCGCACATGCACGCTTTATCATTTGTGTTCTTTGATAAGCCTTATATGCTCATTAAGTTTAATTTTCGAATGGCAACTGCAAAGATTTCCCTAAACCTGTTCCATAGGCTAGTAATCATTACTTCTGTGACAATATAATGTCATTCCATAAATTGCTCTTTCTATTTTAGTCCTTTGACCCATCATTTCTCGATCGGCGAAGTAGCGAGCACATCTGTTTTCCCCTAGAATAGTCTGAGTTTTACTTGGTTTCATATCTTAGTTATTTCCTTAACTAAACTCCCTAATAGCTGAGTAAGTTTGTTTTATGTCACATAGTCGGATAAAACTATAAACGCTGGTATGCTAACCCGTTCCTGTGAGTGAGCTTCACGTGAGTTTCTTCTATGTAGGTAAGTTTATTGGGGGGAAATAATAGCAAACGTTAGTCATATCTAGTCTCTGGACGATGTGTGGTGGAACGTTCTGATGGTAATTACATGAAGTCTTTCAACATCCTACATGAACACAATATTTGCTTACAACTAACAAAAAGAAGTTAGTCGTATAGATTACTCTTCAATTCCACTGAAAACGTGTATAAAAGAAGAGAGTTGACATATTTTTGACTTCTGATTGGCTGATTATTTTTAACGAATCAAATAGTTTCCATCGGGTTTTACACAAAATCTAACTTCAGATATACTCTAATTTGGTTCAGTGAATATTTTTACTACCATGCAAATTCAACATTCTTAAGTGAATTCAGCGAAATAACACAAAGAATAAAATCGAAGAATTTGAATATAAAATACATTTCAAAACATCTGATAGGGAAACAAAATGAAAGGAAGTACATTTACTCAATGAGCTATTTCCCATAGATGTACAATATGGAATGTATCCACTTTTTAGTCATTTTACTTTTTAACCAATTCATGTATGCTAACAGTAAAACATATCGAGAGGTAATAGACAGTGCTATGGAGATGGTTATATCCAATAAAGATAATGAAAACGAAGATTATCTCAGTATGCAACGGAATACACCTCCATCTTCTAATTTATCTATCCCCTTAATGACATCTGTGATGACAGATGAACAGCGATTACTATCGAAAATACTGAATGGATATGACACAGCCTCTCGACCAACTTTCAATGCATCGAAAAGTGTACAAGTTGGATTTCAGTTTACTCTAATTCAAATCAGTCAACTGGTAAGTATTATCTGTGTAACTACTAACAGTGCGCTTAGTAATATAAGTTTTCATGTAATTTACATTATTTTAAAATGTCAGTGTTTGCCATTAGGCCCTGGACTTGTGGTGATTATGTTGAATTACTGAACTGAAATCGTTTTGATTCAACAAAATCACTGCCTACTTACAGGTTTACAAAAAAATGGATGTTACTTTCAAAAGACTATATTGATCACAATCAAAAGTTTGCTTAGAAGTGATATTTTTACTGACTGGTGACATATACTGGTGGTGCTAAAGACAAGACTGAACAGAGAGGATTGTCTTTGTGGCTCATAGTTATCATCGCGTAGCTAAATAACATAATAAAAGCATCTTGAAACTTACTAGGAAGATAAAAAGGGTTTTCATTGGCCTAGCAACAGGGCATTTTTAATTGTAAGGTCGTTTTCATCACGGACTGACATCATTTGAGGAACCACTGAAAACATGACAGCAGTGGACAGCAGTTTCCTTCCGCTATCGGACTCAACAACAGCATGTACCCACTATCCAACACGCCTAGAATCGAACTCAGAACCTACAGGTTTCACGCCAAACGCGTCAACGCGTCAACTTACTGGGTTGGAGTTTAGTAGTCAGCAATGTGCCACTCCTGTCAATTTACAATATACCATGACTACTACCCAAGATCTCAAGCTGGTATTCGCTTCACTTCCAACTTGTTGATCCACTGGTCTCAGCTTTCCACTAGAACTTATAGAGACATCCATCTTGAGGCATTTCACTGGTGAGTACCATACAACAATACAGTCTAGGGTTCATGAGGAACTGTGAAGCATTTGACTTTGACTTAGTAACAGGATGGTTAATGCGTTCGCCGTGAAACCTGAAGGCTCTGAATTCAAGTGCCGGCCTATGGGATGGAGGAGTCCTATTCAATGACGAAACAGCTGTCTGCTACTCCTAGATTTTCTCTGGTTCAGCAACTGATGTCACTTCATGAGGAATACAACCTTAAAATTAAAGTCCTCATAAGCTTCAAACAATAATAATACTCATAATCAAAAGTCATAGTAAAATATTATAACAATTTCAATGAGAAACTTTAACATACAGACATACAAGGGTAAGTGAAGCATATTGTAGAAACAACAATAATAACAGGCAATCAGTAAAAGAAAGGTGAATATTGAAACATTAAACAAAGTCAAAAAGAGATCTTGACCATGGCAAAGTAAAACAATGAACGGATCTCTTCCAGGGATACAACTTAGGTCTATATCGTTGGATTGCCAGCGCCTCTACTACGCATAGTCATGATTTCACACTCTTTGTGAGCTCTACATAGGATGTTTAGATACGACTGTGAGTAAGGAAGGTGATCAGAGATCAGGAGTGGTTCAGGATGGATCTGTTGTTTGACCTGAATCCCCGTCTTGGCAACCAAACAGGACAGTGTTCGAAGATGAGGGCTTAATAACAAGCTCCATAAGGGCAGGTAAACTGATAGACCCACATGGATGTAGCTTTCAAGTCCTTAGCACTGAGTGAAGTCTATAGCCCTAGTTTATGACCAACAAATTGCATGACTCAGTGGTGTGATGAATTGTTTGGCTTTGAGCTATGGTCGGAAATAAACTTGGCTTTACTCATACTTCCCTTCCATTGGCTCTCATCAATAAGTTATGCTTTTAGCATTGGAGATTCGTACGTTCCCTTCCGGATGTGGTCATAAGAAATCGAACACTGAGGGTACCAGTTATCCATTCCCTCGTGAAAAACACTAGTCAACATGCACAAAAGCCATTAAAACTACGTCTTACTTCCAATTAACCGTTAACATCGATCACTTCAAAGTCTAAATACATGTATTACACATTAGATCATTGTGTACTGATAAACTTCACACTATACCTAAATGACACCTGTAGTTAATTTATCAAGTATGTCTTTGATTTTTAAATCCAAAGTGATACAGATTCTTTGTTATCATTTCTACCTACCGACATGACTTTTAAGCTAGGAAACTCATCTCTCTTGACAGTAAAACTCCTATAGTTCATACCACTCTTACTACCATCCTCTTCCATTGTTCACTTACATTTATCAATGATTACACCACTTGCGGTAGCCTGTTCCATTTTTATTCCATTTTAGTTTGTTTGTTAAATATGTCACATAATGGAACAGCATTATTATTTACTGGAGAATGTTACAGTTCTAATAAGCAGACTAAAATGGAATTACAATCTAACACAGTGCCCAAGTTTTAATCTTACACCACTGAGATACCCTATTTTGACAAACTGAACCAGGTCTGAGGAAAGCTATCATCAGCTAGATAAGCATGAAAAAGCTTGAGAGTTTTAGACAGCTTCAAATGAGGTTAGATACCCATCGACAAAATTAGGTGATGTCGAGCTGTACTGTCAATCGACAGAAGTTGGCAAACTTGTGCCATTCAATCCCAACCTAGCAGTTGAATAGTGATCTGCTAACCACGAGACCTGGCGGTAGTAAACTCAATTTCGATTAGAAGTTCCAAATCTAGAACAAAACACCGGTTCACTATTCCTAGGTTATCAATGATTCTGCAACTCACATTCATCTGTGATAAAAACTGCTTAGAAATCAATGTCTTCATAAATCATTTAGCTAAACACAATCTGTTAATTCACACTAAAAAGCTGCTATCTCTCAGCTTTGTCTGTTGACGACTATGTCGTTCAGTCAGTTAAGTTAATTGGTTTGATTGTGACAATAAATGAAGATTGTAGTTGTGATGAGTGAAGCGAGCGCCACTCCAAAAAATAAGATCTCCATAAAAAACATCTGTTAGTTCGACTGATAGCCGCTGCTGGAGGAATTCGATTTTCCCTATAGATTATTCAGAACAAGAATAATTTGAGCGAACAATATTGTTTTCAACAACTTCTTTTCTCTTCAAGCCCTATAGTTGTAAATCCGTGAAGATAACTGAAATACAACAGCCAACATAAAGCATGATGTAAAGTCATTACAATATTGAAATGATGGAATGGTGATCGGTCTAGCGTGTCAGCTGTGCAATGAAATCAATAAGGATGGACAATTTTGAAATGGGGAGACGAAATCATTTAGACAGTCGGATAAAACCCTGGGTGATTTAAGTAAAATAAAAATCCTGTCAGCAGTTGGACCTAGTATCTCAGTTGGTAGTGCGTTGGGCTGGAAACCCGGTAGTCGCTGGTTTAAATCCACCTGTGGTCCAAATTTTAGTTTCACCTTAAATCACCACTCAGTATCATTTATGGGTATTTACTAGGGCCGGAATGTGTGCGTGTTTGTTTATTAATGGTCGAGCAATAATTATGAAGCGAAAAATGTGCGAATACTATAGCGAAATAAGGAATAAGGAATGTGTAGTGTTACATCATGATTAAAAATGACCACTGGCAAGAGTATGAATAAACGAGACTTTATTACCATTTGCTGATATGATGACGATTTCTCAAATGGGACGAAGCACACGACCTGGATTCCTTTGCAAGCCACAACCAAGCAAATTATCCAAACAAGACTCTGTTTATGAACCTGAAGCTAAAGGTGATGCGGCATCAGATATCCCGAAAAGTCGTCTTTCCAGATCAATGAGTAGGACTTTTTTCCCACTCAAATTTCATTTGTTCTGTGCCAGTCGTAAATTATTCCCCTTTTGTGTAAAAGACAGTATCACTTGATAGGCCACCTACCTCCATGTGTATCTACCAGTTCACCTGCTTCTGTGGAGCAAGGTAAATCAACTGTAGTCAAAGATTGCTGTCAACATGTATACAAGAATATATTCCAGCATAGTTTTCTAAAGGTCAAAGTGAATGCATTCGAAGTTCTATCCTTGAACATCTAACCGATTCTAACCATTTGACCGACCCAAACAGTGATTTGAATGTTGTCTATCGAATTCGATCAAGCACCTCACGTTTCCTATGTATTCAGCTTCTAAGAACAGCAGAGGCCTTGGCTATCCATGAACTGAACCCTGAACTTTGTGTGCAACAGAAGTATGTGCAGTCTCCGTCTCTATCTCGGTCTTAACTTATTTTGGTCTTGGTGCGCTTCGTTTCCTTTTTGTATTTTCAGCTTCCCCTTTTGTTGGATTAGTCTTTGTAGTGTTATATCGTCGTTATCATTTTCATTTCTACATTTAATAGTTTCTAGTGAGACTTCGTTTCATCTTTCATCTTCTCAATAACTGCAACTTTTAACAAAACATTCTCGATTGATTCCAACTAACTTGTCTGAATCATATCACCTAATCTTTTAATTAAATGAATGTTTAATAATGTAACGACAATAAAGGATAAACGTATGGGAGGTTAAAGTGTTAAATTTGTTGTAGGAAAAATCATCAGGAACTTGTCAACCTTACTGTAGGCCAATACAGACATAGTAGGTGTACATGTTTCTTTTAAACACATCTGACGTGTTAAGATACCAGAGGTAACAACAATACTCAATGAGGTGCAGGTATATCCAGCTGTCGAGTCCTAAATGGGACGAAACGCGCGTCCTGGATTCCACTGCTAGCTTCTATCCATTATTAATATCTTTCTTTATTTTTTGCCTCCTACGTTCAAACACTCTCCAATTTCAAAAAAGTCAAACCATTACTTTATAATATTACATAAGCTGCATAATAGTTTAGATGATTAATTGTCTTTAACTGGATCCCAGTGATGATTGATTCTGCCATTGACGTTCACATGAGACTTCCTCAACTGTACAACAATTATCACTAAACTGCTGAAAACGAAATCTCAGTATTGTTGATGGAAAACACCTTAATATGGATATATATCTATAGGATCTGAAGAAGCTGAATAAGTTGAGTGGCTTATCATTATGATGGGGTTTTTAACAAATTATTTCCGTTATTGATCGCTTCATAGTCAAAGCAAATTTTGCCAGTTGTAAACGGGCGAAAATTTCATGCTGAACAATATCCTATCCTACGGTTTTGTAGGATTTAAGCAGGT